GCATCCAAATGAAACTCAAAAGATGAGTTTTCTTCTTCCATTTACGTAGCTTTGAAAACTGGAGTCTGTTTGTAGAACAGGCAGATTCCCAGTTTCCCACCTAGCTTTCTTGCAAAAAGCTGAGCATCAACATTGCTGCAAAGCAAGCTTGTCTCATCCTTGGTGGGCTTGGAGAGCTGCTAATCAGGAGCCAACAGAAGAGCACGAATTAGTCAGTCTGCCCACCTTACCATCGCCCGCTTTTCCCAAAATACTCCTTTTCCTGTTTTCTTCCTTCCTAACAACTGAACAAAAATGGAATATTGGCATTAAAAACAAGTGCCTATAATTAATGTAAATGACTTCATCACCTTAGAAGAATCCTAAACCTCCAGTTGTTGTTTTTTTCCACCATCAAAATCGCCACTCCTCTAGGTAGCCTAGTGACTTTCAGACTGCGTTCCACAGAGTACTCCACTGATGTCCATGAGAGGTCACAAAGACAAGCAAGCCTTTTCTCAGCAGGCTTAAGATCACTAAACAGAGGTCTGGAGGAGGTGAAAATCACTGTTTTGTCTATTCTTTCTCCTTCTGCCTCCGTAACAGCCTGCACAGATGGCTTAGTCCTTCCTAGTCAAATCCCCCCCAGCACCACCTGATGAACCCACACACCCAGCCCTCCGATACATGCAGAGCTACCGCAGAAAGCTGTGGTAGCCCCTACGTCTGTCTCTCCCTCAGTGTCCCAAGCCACGTGCTTAATTCTCTATGTTCAGGCCACATTGGCACTCCCTAGTGCAGGGATCCTCATCACAACACCCAGCAAAGACAGCATGAGGAGGAAATCAAGGTAAGAGCCCCAGCACATGTTTAGCTGAAAAATAACGTGACAGTGCACATTTTCTTAGGGATTCAGAAAATTGATTTGCTAAGGCCGCCAAACAAAAGCTACAGTTTTCTTTCTCCTCATACACTCCTCCTTCTTCATTCATTCAAAAACCTAAACTTTTGCTAACTCATCCAAAGAAGTTTAAGCATGTTATTGTTAAAAGGCAATTCATAAAAGAAAAACTCAACATGAAGTCTTTATGAAATAATGAAGAGGAGTGCTTTGCGTAAGGCCATAAAAAGTACAGTTTACATTTCTTAAATGTTTAGAATCTAATATGCCTCTTTCAGATCTTAATTTGCAAATATTTGGTATTAAACGCAAGGTTATGTAAGAAGTTTTATTTATAAACACAGATCATTTAGTATTATCAGTGGCTACTAAATAATGAACTCGTTAATTATTAGCTAAGGAATTCATTAACTGTCTTCCAGTTCTTAACCAATTCTCTTACAAAGCTCAGAAAATTATTGCTCAAAAAATCAGTGGTCTTCTCTGAAGCCTGATTCTTCAAGAAGGATATTTAGTTTTTAAAAAGATTTTTGAAAAGCTATTTTAAAGACAAAAGTTACCTGTTCTGTTACAGAAGGACGTATTTGAAAGAGAACTTAAGTCTCACTGAACCCTAATAAACCACAAAAATAACCTCAGAAAGCAACGTAAGGAAGACTTTAAACAATAAAGATGTATAAATGCTTCCCCTCCACAAGAACAAAGAGTGTTTCTACACTCGCCTTTGCAAACTGCATCTTCAAAGCTGACGCTACTGCCAAGAGTAACCCATGAGGTCTTTAGCCAGTAAAAGGATGAAGGTAGAATCTGAAATTTGGTCACACAGGATCTCAAGAGATCCACTCAGAGAGATGCTTGATGTGCCACCATTTAGTAATCTCTGTTAAAACATTTTCAAAGAGGTGATTACTGTTTGCAGTTCATGGGGTTTCTTTGCTTAATTTATTCCCTTTTTAATAATAAAACCAGGCACAATTAATCATTGCGATTGTTTTGCTTTTTTTCGTTTAATAATTTTCTTTCACCAGGCATAGAAAGGAACACTGTAAGACCAAAGGAGTCAGAGTTACATCCTTAATGGACATCTGAGAAGCAAGAAAGAGAAAATCTTAATACAGGGTTCTCTTGCACTACATATTTTTTTAATTTTTATTTAAAAAACCTGCTTGGTGCTCAACAACGGAAGAAAACGTCCCAGGCTACTTCAGGTAAGATTTTGTTATTATTTCCACCAAAATAAATAGTTGGACAGAGGCCTATATTGCTTAAAGAACTTGGTTTTAAATTCAGTTCCCTGAAAATCTATTATGGATAATGATAATTGTCGTGGTTTAACCCCAGCCAGCAACTAAGCCCCACGCAGCCGCTCGCTCACTCCCCCCCGGTGGGATGGGGGGGAGAATCGGAAGGGTAAAAGGGAGAAAACTCCTGGGTTGAGATAAAGACAGTTTAATAGGCAAAGCAAAAGCTGCACATGCAAAGCTAAACAGGGAATTCATTCACTCCTTCCCATCGGCAGGCAGGTGTTCAGCCATCTCCAGGAAAGCAGGGCTCCATCATGCGTAACGGTTACTTGGGAAGACAAAACGCCATCACTCTGAACATCCCCCCCCTTCCTGCTTCTTCCCCCAGCTTTATATGCTGAGCATGACGTCATATGGCATATAATAAGCCTTTGGTCAGTTGGGGTCAGCTGTCCCGGCTGTGTCCCCTCCCAGCTTCTTGTGCACCCCCAGCCTTCTCACTGGTGGGGTGGGGTGAGGAGTGGAAAAGGCCTTGACTGTGTGTAAGCACTGCTCAGCAGTAACAAAAACATCCCTGTAACAAAAACGCTGTCCACAACAAAAACAAAAAACACACCCACACAACAGACACTGAAAAAAAAAAAAACTCTACCCCAGCCAAAACCAGCACAATCATATATCGGAATCTTTCAATGCAAGAAAAACAAATTAATTGAGCTCCTGGTATAAGCACAAAGCTGAACATAGCTATAGTACATCAAGGAGTGCTTGCGTTATTAGTCCTAGGGGCACCTGTAACACGCTAATTTCTTCCAAAGTGAAAGGAGAAATCATTATGGTTGCCCACACAGGATCTGCTGGGCAAATTTCAATTAAATATGGGGTAAGTAAGGCTGTAGGTGAGAAGAGATCTGTTAGATGTCAATTGAAAGGCAAAGCACACACAATGCTGTATCCCAATTAGCAAGAACAGGCACAAAAGAGTCTGAGCGCTGAACCACTGTATAAACTACACAGGATTCACTTTAACACATTGCTGGCTAGAGTTTCAGTGGGAGACGGGCATCTATTTCTTTAACATCTATCTCACTAACCTCTAAATGGAAATGTAATACAACAGCTTCAACTGTGGCAACCAGTGCACCTAACAAATCCAGAAATTTTTCAGCCTCCCATCTTTCTAGAACATTTGCCTCTGCCTGGCTATTATAAATATCCCATTTATTACTTACTGGGCACATTTCCCAAAAGACAAAAGATAGATACTTAGAATTGGCTAACTAACAACAAAAAAATCCACCTCCTTATGATAGCAGTTTAACCAAATGGAAATATTGCCATTAAAAACGTATTAGATAAATCTTTTTTTTCTATTCATGCACTTTCTAAAACCAGATCACTAAATTTCCATAATATTCATTACACAGAGTTATTTACAATTGTCTCCAGTGAGCATTTCTTGGGCTACAGGTCATTAAAGAATAAACTATTTATCACAAATATCCCAGAGGTGCTATTTGGGCTTTGTGATTAATTACATATAACCACAGTATCCCCTCTGTTTTGTGAATGCAGTAACTAAACAACATTACACGCATCATACATTTTGAAATCTAAAACACAACTGACATTTCCTATTATCACGTGTTTTGGTCTTGAGACTTAACATTTATTTTCTTTTCAATATTCATGCTTGTAAAAGCTTGCTTTGCAAAAGCTTGAGCGCAAAAGGGTCATAAGTAAGCTGCAAGGAGAACCAGGAAAGCATGCCCGCCACCACCAGCCAGAATCGCGATCACACGCTGAGGAAGAAAACCCGCTCAAGGTAGGTCGACAGCTACACCCGCTCCCCGACCCGGCTGCCGAGCGGCCTGACGCCCCAGGCGGTGCACCGGCCGTCAACAAGCTCCTGGTGAAGCCGCCGGCCTGGGAGCTGCCAGGGGCTCAGCACCCCGCAGAGTTCGGCTCTTCCCGGCTGCCGGAACGCCACCCTTCCCAAAACCGCCCAGCGCGGAGCTGTGGCAGCACGCGCCCCAGCTTTCGGAGCTGCAAAACCGCTCCACGTCTCCAGGCGACCGGCCCACCGAATCCCAGATAAAATCATGAAACGGAGTTTGCTCCTGGATGCTTTTTACCAGCACCGCTGGCTCCGTGCCTGCTGGCGCCGCCCGGCTGAGCTCACCGGGCACCCACCCGGCCGGCCCCCAGACTTCTGCTGCTACTTTATCACCCCTGCTACAGGGAAATTTTTCTTCCACCGGGGTAAACCAGCTCTTCTTCCTTGTTTTTATCCTCAGCTCGACTTAGCGACAGAGTCTGTCACGCGAAA